GCATGGGGAGCTGAAAAGTCCTTGACTAGTGTAAACATTACCTAGCAACAACTAAAACATCGGTGTGTTATCAACATTGTTCTCCTCCTAAATCCAAAACACAGCACTGTACCAGCTACTAGGAAGAAAATTAACTCTATCCCAGCTGAAACCAGGACAGCAATCAAGAAAAAAGGTGCTGTGTTTCTGGATGTTCCAGCATGTTTCATTTCCATGTTGATTCTGAAGGCTGTCAGCAGCAATATAGATTGCCAGTAGTGTGGTGAGATATGACTGATCTGTGGGTTTATTGTAGTAGCGTAGATGAAAGTATAGTATTAAATGAAAATTTTGAGTAGGAGTTTACTGTAAAAGAAGGTGATGAGTTGTAAAAATAAGCAAGCGTTGAATTGTTCCGAAGGTGAAAGTGCTGGTTTTGTGGTAGCTGAGAGAGATTATCTTTTCTGTGCAGCTTGCCAAAGGTCCAGCTCTGCCTCATACCCTAGCTGGTATTTCCAGACTTGTATGTAGAGTCTGACTGTGTGTGATGAGTTTTTTGATGGTGAACAGCAAATCAAAGAAGAGCTAAGATTCCTTGAATCATCAAGCTTCCTGTGGCACCAAGGGAAGTTAGTACTGTTTTCTTCCTACATTTCCTATTCCTTATTCTTACGAATGTATGCATTTGTGAGAGAAATGTACTTATGTTTGTGTCTTTCATTCATTCTTGATTGTTTTCTCTTTTGCTGTGGCCCTTTTAGAGAGCCAGGGCAAACCTTTGTTCAGTGGTTCAATCCCAGAGGAGGAGATTAAGTGTACTAAAATAAGTTTTAAATCTTTTTGTTTATATTGAAAAACGTTGATGCTTGTTTCCTCTTACAGATTCTGAAGTCAATATCAGAAAGAAGACATTCACTGAGGTTCAAACAGAACGATTGGAGCAAGCAGAACGGACTGTTTTAATTAAGTGCCCACAAAAACTTAATGGAAAAAAATTATTGCAGTATTTATCTAGTCATGGAAACATTAACAGTCACTTCTTTTTTGAAAATCGTGTAAGTAATTAACAATGTAAACTAAAATCTAGACTTAGACAAAAAGAAATACTAGCATTTGGTCAAGGCCTCATACATGTAACTTAAGCAAATTATATACAATTAATATATTAAATTAGTTTTTATCTTTGTTAATGTTTACAGGTTGTTGAGCAACAGATTTTTATTCATAAGTCAGCTAAGCAACAGCTCCTCTAAGGGATAGGTAGCAACCTGTTTTGCACTAAATCTTTGAAACTTTTACATAGCACTGTTCATTGTTCTAATAATAGAGCTAACTTTTTTATGTGCTTCTTGAGCATTACAGTTGTGAAGATAAATAGATTTTAGAACTTGTATGTTTAGTGCTTGCTGCCAAGAATAGCATATCTTAAATATTTTTGACCTCTTGTGAAAAAGCATCTAAAGAATGTTGAGGTACAGAACCTAGCATTCAGCTTCAGGGCTGTTGTATTAAACTGTCTCAGTACTCCCAGGAACATCCGAATAATATCAGTACAATCAGTTCAAGGCTTGTATGCATTCATCTAACCCTGTCTATTTCCATTCTTAATGTTTTAGGGTGTCCATGCTTTAATAGAATTTTCTGAAAAGGACAGTATAGCCTCATTGCAGGATGCTGTTGGAATCCCAAGTGCTGCAGAGCATCATGTTGTTCCATTTAAATCTAGACTTTTTAATTTCACGCTGAAAAACACAGTGAGTCAAGCTGCTGAAGAGACACCAGTTCACCTCTCTCCTCAGTCTCACATTCCAGTGACAGAGCTAATTCAAAAGCTTTGATATGCAGACAGTGTAAGTATAGGTTTCTAGATCTCTCTCAGTTAAAAATGAATCATGTCTATTTCAGATTTGCAAGTGGTCATGTGCAACTTATAAAGCAATTTATTTCTATTAAAATAAAAAAAAGTAATCCCTGTTAGAATTTTGTGTGAATGGTTCTCCTACACTGAAACAAATAGATGAAATTAGTCATTTTAGTTGTCAAAATAATTTCTTCGGTATGAAATAAACCTGTTTGAGATTTAAAAAAAAAAAATTTTAATTGCAATGATACTAAGCAGATGAAAATATATGTTAATAGATAGAATATGGGTCATTGTATTTTTACAGTGTTTATTTTCTTAACTAGATAAGCAGTCAGATGTACATTCTACTGAATGAGTATCAGCTTACAGAAGAAAATATCAAGCTCCGATTTCTGGCCTGTTCTTTGGTTCGGGATTTTGCACGTGCATATTTTCCAGACAGCACAGTAAAGCCATTTGGCTCTTCAGTCAACACCTTTGGCAAATTGGGATGTGATGTGGACATGTTTCTGGACTTCCATGATACACGAAAGCATGCTGCAAAAATGGTAAGATTATGCTATGCATCTTCAGTCTGTTGAATTTCTTCAACAGAGCAGCTCATTTGCTGTTTCACACGCAGGAATCAGTTTATTTATACTAAGGTTTTACATGACTTCATACTACAGACTGCGAACAAGTTTATTTGAATGTTTGGACTTGAAGACTTTCAAAAGCTGGATGTGACATGAAAGAGATCTTCCTTGCAATAGGAAGAAAATGACTTGGTGTTTACGTAGACTTTGTACTGTCAGTGTGAATTTCACTGTGGGGAAAAAACCCTTCATCCTCCAAAATTGATTCGGCAATGTCAGATCTTCCCATCCTGCTGTTGGGTTTTCTTCTCTGGAGCTGCTGGGATTCATCCATGCTTTTTAAAGCTTGGCTTTGATTTTTAGGGTCCCCCATGTTCTGAAGCATAATAATTTTGTGCACGTGTATACATGTGCATTTTGGGAGGGTTGTCAGGTTCTTTTACTTAGTTTAAAGAGTTGACTTCATGCTACAGAAAAGTTACTCAATTATGTACTGGGGTGCATACATCTATACCTAAGAGTGTGTGGAGTTTTGAAAGTTTAAGACCTCCTGGGATAGTATCAGTGAATAGTTGCAGGTGGCACACTTGTTCATGTTTGTGGTGTCTGTCCAGAGAAAATTACCATGTTAACAGCACCTGATTTTCATTGTGAAGGGAATTAGTTGGCTTACTCCTGAAAGGAACCTGAGGATAAGCTGGTATATGTGAACTGTAGATGTTTTGGGGACCAGGACCCAGGAGCAAAACAGGAACCGAGCCAGATCAATAATGCAGATATTTCAATTGTCACATTTTCCATAAGATACTTCATAATTATTTGAATGCCTCATTGATAATACAACAGTAAGCACCAAGAGAAGTAGTGATTACTAAGCAAGTGTAGAGGCTTGAAATTGAAATACACTCACCTGAATTTGCTGACCAAAGTACAGAATTTGCATCAATACCTTGAGAAGTTGGAGGGTTACAAGACTTCAGTAAGCAATATTCAGTCAACAGTATTGCCTTTTTCAATGCATATATTAAATTTCATCTTAATCATGTCTTAACCCATACTACAATTCGGAAATCTGGACTATGTAACCAAGTTCACATGTTTAGTGTTGGGATTTGGGCAGCTTCAAATCGTAATGGTTATTTAGAGTAGATTGTGTCTCAGTCCTTGTGTGTGTAGGCACAAAGAATGGGAAAGGACTAGACAAGCCATTTTTGGAAGGCTCTTACCTCTTGCTGCTGTTTTTTGGCTGTGGACAGTGTAAATGTCCTTTCGGGTTGGAGAACGAAATATGAAAGAGAGAGATGAGAATCAGGATAGGAAGAAGGGAAAGTTGGACCGGAAATGCCCTGTGGAGAAGTTGGGATTCTTCATGGATTCTGAATGGGTAATAAAGTAAGTGTTTCTGGTGTTTTGAAAACTTTTCTTTTTATTTGTATGGTGACAGATAGTTTGGGGAAAACTAGATTTTGTATGGTGACAATAGTTTGGGGGAAAACTAGATTTTGTATGGTGACAGATAGTTTGGGGAAAACTAGATTTTGTATGGTGACAGATAGTTTGGGGAGCTTGCAGTTCATAAAAAAAAAAAAAAAAAAAAAAAACAATGGGCTTAAGCTTTTGAAGATTGAAAATTCACTCAGCTTTTCTGTACAATTTGTATATTGCCATGTACTTTATTTTTAAAGAAATATCCCTTCAAACGTATATAGTTTTTAGTATTACTGCAGTGATCAAACACAACGAACGCAAGTATGTCAGTTGAAAAGTAGGATCATCGTGTGTGTGTGGGAAGTGTTAAAATCTAGGAACCCTTTACATTTAAACAGTAAAGCTGCCTTTTAAATTTTGAGGGAAAAACCTTTCAACTATAAAACGTCTATTTTCAAAGCATGTTTTGTGACTAGCTGTTTTCTTTAGTATTCATCCTCTGTAGAAATAGAAGTTCTACTGTGAACTTTAGAGTTGTTCTTGTCTTTAAGTTACATGACAGGTTAATAGGCTGCGTGGCACACTTATAGAATCATAGTTTGGGATGGAAGGGACCTTTAAAGGTCATCTAGTCCAACCCTCCCTGCAGTGAGCAGGGACATCTTCAACTAGATCAGGTTGCTCAGAGCTCCATCCAACCTGACCTTGAATGTTTCCAGGGATGGGGCATCCGC